GGTTCCTGGCTTCCGGGCCATGGACTCTGTGCAAATTAGCCGAGGGCACCCCTTCCAGACATTTTACTGAATCTGCTGGGAAATTGCTATGATATGGAAATCTAGTACACGGTATAACAAATATACAAACCTGTCTAGGGTGTGAATGGCGCCCCTTCAAATGCCATGTTGTGCGGTATGCAACCTGCGCAACTGAACTTGGTGGCCCTTCAAGCCTGACTCTTTGGGCTTTGTGGAGATTCTGTTAGGGACTTAATTTCCTTTAGTAATTGCTTTTTCTACTTAAGCTACCTGAGATGGGGTCTGGTGTTTGACTAAGAACCCGATTGGTACAAATAGGGATAATGACATGTGCCTCATAGGTGCCAGCTGACCAATCGAGGTAAGAGTCTCCCAGGGGCATAAAGACTTCTGTTACTCTGCGGCTTTGTGCTTAATTTATTCATTTTTAGAGGAACATGGGAAACGGGATCTGATTCACCCAGTCTTCCTTCCTTATTCCAGAAACCTATTTGTTTATTCGTTTGTTCTAGTTGTCAGGGTCACAGTTCGTGGTTAAACAGAGGAATCACAAGGATGGAAATGAGAGTGTGTGTTATAAATATTCCAGTGGGGAATTATTGGGTCTTATTGGCGCACTGCTCGGTCTCCTATTATTACAAGGAGGGATGACATCAGCCTGTGTATCATTCGTCTGATGAGTGAGTGTGTGTGTGTGTGTGTGTGTGTGTGTGAGTGTGTGAGTGTGTGTGTGTGTGTGTGTGTATGTCTGGTGCAGATAAAGTGATCAGTTTTGAGGTTTTCCGGAATTGTCCATATTTGAGATGTCTTGTCCTCATGTATTAGGCTATTTCTGGGCCCATGTTTTTGGGTTAGGCCCTGTGGGGCTGCCCTTTAAGGTCACAGCCGCCCCTGCCCAGGGTGTAACGAGGAGGGAAAAATGAGCAGGGCCTCCCCAGGGAACTCTCTCCCCATCAATAGCTGGAAATGTGCGTTTGACTCAATCCTCAGTACTTCAAGCCTGAAAGGAGGAAAGAAGCTGTTTGCTTGTTTCCCACATCCCCTTCCCCTCTGGTGCCCGAAGCAGGGAGGGGAGAGGAGGGCGGACTGGGAGGTTGGGGCAGGCTGGCACCTGCCCACTGGTCTGATTTCGAGGCCCTCTGTCCAAATCAGCCACCCTCGTTTGGTGCCTGGGGCCTGACATCGTTTTGCTGGGGACTTTCTTTCCACCTCGAGCAAGGAGCAAGGGCTTCAGAGGCCAGAAGAGGGAGCCTGTGAGTCGTGTTCGCCCCTGGTGGCTCCTATCAGGGTTTGGACAGAGGAGAGGGCGGAGGGGAGAGAGGGCGTCCACATCCTGAAGGGCAGTGGTGGGGGGAAGAGGCACCAGGAGAAGGGGAGGGGGAGCATTGGAGGTGTTGGGAGGTAGGGCACCTGCATACAGACATCCTGGATTCCAGAATCTGTCCCTGGTCTCTAGGGGCCTCTGACCCTCTGCACGCAGGCTGCATTTCCCTCCTGCAGGAACTTCTGACTCCCTGCTCCTGTCTGAGTGACAGACTTTTCAGATGAGGGGAACTGGCCGAGGAGGCCTCCCTGTCTTGCTCTCACTTTCCCTTCAGAAGCCCTCACTCCACCCGGCTCTCAGAAGGGAAACCGCACACATAGGGGAAACCCAGTCGTGCCTGTTTCTGGAACTGCTCCGAGGAGCCTCAGGCAGGAAGGGCTGGGGAGGTTCCCAGGACAGGAGGATGGGGTCTGCGGAGCGCTGTGCCAGAACACAGGGCAGGGACCTCTGCGGGACTGCAAGTGGAGACCTTTGCACCCCTCGGGAAGTGCAGGCCCTGGGCTCAGGTGAAGAGGCCTGAGACGAGAGACAGTCTGACTTCCTGTCAGTTCATTAGTGATCTCCTGTCACATCTCCAGGGTTTCGAAATAAATCAGGGCCTTTTCTACACAGAGTCCTGTTTCTCTGGCCCCAAGTTGCTGCAGGTCATCGGGTGGGGGGCTGGGCGGGCAGCAGGCAGCCGTAAGCCACCAAGCTGGGTTTTGTGAAGGTGTCCCAACTCATCTGTTTCACCTGTCCCCCAGTCCCCTGGTACAGTCCTTCTTCCGTGGTCATATGAAGATATATAATATAGTCTTTTCACAAATCAGATGGAAGTGACCCAAGGGACGGGTCATCTAGAAAGCCCTCCTTCCATGCAGGAATCTCCTCATTCTTGAAAGCTGATATTAAACCCTTCCAATGACGGAGAGCTCCCTCCCTCACGAGGGACCTCATTCCCCTTTAGGACAACTCCACTTGTTAGGAAATCATCTCCCTTCCTTTGGACATCCAGCTGTCTCCTGGAATCTCTCTCCTGTTGGTTTGAGTTGGCCAAACTTTTGGTAAGATCCTTCCTCTCTCTGACAGATCTTTAGAAGTTCCAAGGCCTGTTCTAATGTATCTTAAGCCTTCTCCTCCAGGGTAAGATGCACCTGCTTCTCTGGCCTGTCCTCAGTAACTTCATCCTCCTTTCTGTCCCTCCCCCTCTACCAAAGACCCCTTTGCTATCAGCACCCCAGTGCTGGGGTCTGAGGAGCAGACCGTGTCCTGCGTGACTCTGTGAAACACCTGCCTGGCCAGGACTAGAGGCGACTTGACTCCCATGAGAAACTCAGGAGCCCCCAGAGGTCAGGGCCCAGCGGGCCCACTTCCCTACCTCTTCCCCATGTTCACCTCTGGCCCTCAGTGGACACCGAGCCCCGGAATGAGGACCCGATGATGCTAGAATACATGTGCTGAAGGGAACCCTGACAGGCAGCTTGTCTCGTATTCCTTGCACTGGGCCATCCCCTCATGCCCTGAGTCAACCGTGAGCTCGAGCCTCTCCAAGCTGTAGGGTAGCCAAGGGACACTGACTTTACTAGATCCTGCGGAAAAGGCAAGTAATGTTCAAGATGATATTTTTATATTAAGACAAATGCATATCTATCATGTGATAGAATGTAGAAGCATGAATTTCAAAGCCACTACCTGAGATTTCAGAGGAGTATCACACTCCGGGAAGGTTGCTTCAGGCTATTTCTTTAGAATTCAGTTCCCGGTCCCCCAGAGGGCTGGCTCCCTTGAATGAGGGGTGTTTAAGTTGGGTAGAAAACTTGGAGAGGCTCTAAGTTCCTGAGTTTCTTGGAGAAGCTCAGTCTCCTTTGCTATTAGAATGAGGCAACGGAGGACAGAGGTAGGGAAGCGATTAGCCTGAGGACACACGGCTTGGAGTCCAGACTTGGAACCCAGATCTGTTCTTTCGCCTGGACTGAGAAATGTTGCATTGGGTTTATAAGAATGCTTACCATGGCGAGAAAGGGGATCTGATCACAGAAAAGTGTCTTGGGCTTAACCCTTGGTTATACAGAAAACGCAGTGCAAAGACCAGTTTTACTCAGAGAGTCTGTGCTCCAGGTTCTGAGTAGAGCTGACACCATTCAATGACAGCAATATATTTTCTTACCTCCTTCAGGGCCTAGCATTCTGTTTGGGAAGGATCAGGTGAACGAGGAAGAGAAGTCCAACTCCAGTGCCAAGGAATAAAGGGAAGAAGGCCGAGACGGTAGCAGGGCCAGCCAGAGGCTGTTCTGGAATCCAAGCCAGGGAACTGGTAGGACTGATGTGTTAAAATGGTCAGCAACCCTTCGACTCTCACTTGCTCACACACAATAGGCTGTACCTGCACGTGTAAACACACACACACACACACACACACCTCACACTTGGAGTCATAGATACCCAAAAGCTTATGATCAGGCAGAGCCTCACACAATGCAGGGGACCACTGACGATCTGACCTCGCCACCACACAACCACCCACTGTCACCTGCAGTGACAATGCAAAAGGGAATCAACCTGAACCAGGGAATTGAGTAAGTGTGGCTTTCTTTTACTTAAAATGCTGTCCCTCACGTTATTAAATAAGGGTCAAAGATTTGTGTTTTTTATAAAGGCATCTTCAACATTTTTATAAGTTTGTGACACCCAATTGTCAACCTCTTAAGCCACGGATGTCTACAGATAGTCTTGTGGCTGTCACCTCTCACAGAAGTGCAACTCTTAATATCATTTAATCAAGTCAATTAATACTGTTTAATAAATAGGCCAGAAAATTAGCTGAGAGTTTTTCTCGGCGAGATGCAGCGTGCGACCAAAGTTATGGAAGATTGTCCCTTGAATCACTAAGGCAAACCTTGTTGAGTGTCATTTCACATAAAGCAATCACATTAAAAAAAAGTTATAAATAGAAAAAAATTCCAAAGTTCTCCCACAGACAGGGAAACTGAAATGTCCGCCCCCCAAAAAAAAGGGAAACAAAACCAAACACTACCATCCCTACCTCCACGACCCATTTGCTTCAAGCTCTTGATCATACAGTACTCGACATCTTTGGATATGTTACAATGTACAACTCCAAACTGCAGCCAAGAGAAAACAAAAAGAACTAACCAGTCGTCTGCAAAATTGAGTTTATGAGAAGTCATTAACTTTTACAAAATAAAAACAAAAGCCCCAACACCACTGGTTTCTAATTTGTTCGTTTTTCCTCGTTTTCTCTTAAAGTTTGGGTCAGCCCCATTCCCTTGGCTGAGGGGGAACACAGGCATGTTGGCTGGTGGGTCCCAGAAGCGAGGGTCAGAAATGGAGACAGGAGTGTGAGAGGCACCTGCCCAGCAGATGACGTCTGAGGATAAGAGGGTGTCAGCAACAGTTCCCTCCGGCTGAAAGGGCAGCTGGTGGTGTGTGGGGTCATGGGTCTCTTCGCGGGGGAGCTGGGAGAGTGACAGAGTCTGTGGTCTTCTCTGGCCTTTTTGTTTTTTTGCGTTTGCTCAGGAAGAAGCCAAGGCAATAGGAAGAGCCGAAGTCTCTGTGCCCACAGCTCCTGGATCGGGGACACCAGCCCTGGGCCATCTGCACAGGAGAACTCTCCTCCCTTCTCTGGGCTACTGAGAAACAAAAGCAAACTCAGCAAGAAAAGGGAGGGAAGGACAGGAAAGGGGAGAGAAGATCTGGAAGGCACTGGGCCAGCAGAGCTGTCTTCCTTCTCAGGACCGGCTACAAACCAGAGAGCCAGGCAGAATGCGTGGACAGCCGTCACTCACAGAACCCTCCAAGCCCATTTTGGAGCCAAGCCTCTGACTTCCCACACTGGACAGCTGGCTTCCTCCCTGGGGGACCACGGAGGGGTTGAGGGTGTTCAAACACAGCGATGCCAAAGTCCTGAGAAGCCCCCAACTGGAAAGCAAACATACATCTGGGTAACTGGGCATTTTGTCTGCTTCCGGGAATCAGGTGGAGAGGGGCAGCTGCCAGGTGTTAAGAGGAGGACCCCATTCCTTCCGTGTTGGCCCTCGGAGTCCTGAAAGACTCCTTATGGCATTGGAGGGACGACGCAGAGGTGGGGACAATGCGAGATGGTAGCCCCCGGATGCGCACAGTGGCCTGCCCAGAGGGGAGGGTAGGATTTAGAGTTCCCCAAAGCTGCCTGGGGGCTGTGGACAAGCCCACCCCAGCCCTCTTCCTCTGTTAGCCTGTCTAGTTTGGCCACATTTCTCACCTGTGCCAACGTAGAGGTGGACGTGATAAAACTAAGTCCAGTGAAACAGTGTCACCAGGGACGTTAAGACTGCAAAGCCCCTGCTCTCTCAAGGCTTCTCTCTGGAGGGATGGGCATGTTCGAGTGTGTCGGTGGGTGGATGGGAGGGGGAAACAAAATTTCCAGCCCCCTTTCACAGCAGGGTGAAACTGGGGTACAGACGGCTGACCTGTCCGCGGTCACAGGACAGGGAGGGAAAAATGGGCCCGGACCCCAGGAGACCCTCTCCCTGCCTATAGGTCACTTCCCCTAAGGATCCCAGGGCCACTGGAGATGGGAAAAATGACCCATCGGAACAGTGTCAGCAGGGACTCTGCCTTAGACTGGCGGGGCTCAGGATGTGTATCTCAGGACCCTACCTTCAGCCCTGCTCCATCCGGTCTGCCTCTGGCCAAGCCACCTCCCTCCGTCTAGCCCCACACAGCTCCAAAGTGCTTCTGGACACCTGGCCTGGGGCCTCCTCTTTGGCATGGGCCCCTGTGAGTTTCTGTGTGAGAGCAGAGAGACAGCCAGAGAGGCCAGGCCTTTTGGGAGGAGATGCCCATCTCAGACCCCAGCAAAGGGGAGGCAGCTGCCTCAGGAGGCCCAGAAAATACCCCTGCGGCTGCTATTTGTTTTCCTTTTTTCTTTTGAAATGAAAAGTTCAGACCCATTGGATGGGGCAGGTGGGCCTGGGAGGGGGCAGGGAAGCAGGACTGGGGGTGATGAGGCTCAGCCTAGTTGTTGGCTTCAGACATGGAGGCCACGTGGTTGAGGCCGGCGAGCCCGGGGAGGCCGGCCAGGCCCGCGGCCCACGGGTCGGGCAGCGGGAAGTAGGGACGCGCGGCGGCCACGTTCTCGGCCAGCGCGAAGGCCAAGAGGCCCCCCGCGTTCCGCTCGGCCTCGAGCTGCGCGCGCCCGAACAGCTTCACCTGCGTCTCCTCGAACTGCCGCTCCAGCTCCTGCAGGCTCAGCGCGCCCTTGGGCGCCGCCAGGAAGTGCTTGGCGGGGCTGGGGCCCGGGAGGCACACGGCGGCCCCGCCCAGGTGGCCACCCACGTCTCCCAGCGCGGGGGGCATCACGAAGGCCGCCTTCTCCGGGGCCGGGCCGCCGGGCCCAAAGAGCAGGCTGGCGGCCCTCCAGGCGGCGGGCTTGCGGCCGCGCCGGGGCCGGGCCATGCGGCAGCTCTGGCGCTTGATGTGACGGTGCAGGTGGTCGGAGCGCGTGAAGCTCTTGTAGCAGAACTCGCACTGGTAGGGCCGCACGCCCGTGTGGATGCGCATGTGGTTCTTGAGGTCGTAGTTGTGCACGAACTTGGCGTTGCAGTGGATGCACAGGTAGGGCCGCTCCCCCGTGTGCTTCCTCATGTGGATCTTCAGCTTGTCCTGCCTGCAAGGCGGAGCCAGAGTCAGTCCCTGCCCAGAACCCCAGGAGCCACTCCTCACTCCCTGCTCCCCTTCCTCCAGAACCTGCTAAGGCTCCCGACTGCTGTGGTGTCGACACTCAGGAATGGGACCCCTGCTAGAATTTACCTTCAATTACTGCGCCACCCCAAACAGGTGTGCCTCCTCCCCTGGATTACAGAGTGGATCAGGAGCTGGGCCCAGAGAGGCTGCTGTCATTCCAGAACACCTGTTACGCATAAGCTCAGGAGAATGAAGTGCCCACTCTGTCAGGGCCTGTCTCATAGACTGCAAAATCGACTTGCTGGGGACAGAGGCCCCGAAAGTCAGCAATCTTTCATTAGTCCTCCAGTGGGGCAGCCACTTCTCATACTGGATTGCACCTTCAGCTCCACTCTCTCCAGGCAACAGGGTCTTTCCTCGAGGTTCACCCTGATCCCATCCCAGCCCCTGGGCTGTTGAGACCTGTCAGTCCTCAGCACTAATCTGGGAGGCTACAGGGATCAGGCACACCTTGTTCAAGTCACTCCTGCACTGTGGTTTCTTAGCCCCAGCCCTTGGCTCTCCTCTTTGTCTGCAGACAGTTCCAGGGTTTACAAAACAGCCAGGTGCAACAAGAATGCAGCCTAAGCTAGGGCAGAGCTTTTCAGGGTTTAAGCAGTATTATTCAGAGGTAAGATATGACGTGGGGCTGCGGCTCCCATCAGCAGGTGTGGGAGCCTCTGCTCCAGCTGCAAACCCACTGCTAACGTGATGGGTGACCTTAGGTGAGTTAACCTCTCTGCACTGAGCCGAACCTAGCACGAGACGTCAATTCCTGTTGTCCAGAGCTGATGGAGAGAAATTCGGGTTGTGTTGAGCTAGATTCAACACACCTCCTGGCGGTCTTGAAAGGAAAACAGACATCTCAAGCCTGTTTTTGTAAAGACTGAATGCTGCATAAACCAGCTAAAGGAGCCTTTCAGCCACGCAGAAGTGGAGGCAGGTGAGCTTCGAGAACTCTCAGGATCCTTCTGCAGCCTTCCTTGACCAGGCCGGGCTGGCCAGGAAGCTGTGTCCAGCCTTCCACCTCCTCCCTGCAGGTGTGGCTTGGGTGGAGCGTCTGCCTGTAATTTTTGGCTTGGTTTTGAGGTTGGAGCAGATGTGGAGCCCAGGCATCCGCCCTAAAATGGCCAGATTTAAACCACACTCAACATAACCCCAGCACAGCAGGAGCGGGTCCTGGTCTCCTGGTGTCCCCTGGCCGCTAGAGGTCTCACTGGCTCTCATTTTCCGGCTAGTTCCCCAGGGGTGGGGCAGGAGAGAAAAGGACATTCATGAGTACACTGGCAGGGACCAGGGGAGAAGGACCAAAAGGACAGATCCGTTTCCCCCACCTGTGCTCCCTGGAAGGCTGGAGGGCACGTGGGGGGTGGGGGTGGAGAGTGGGTTAGGCAGGGCAGAGGAAGGGAGAGTTGGTATCCTTCACACACCAGACACCGCCATCCCCGTCCCTGCCCTTCCCACAGCCCACCAGCTGCCCCCAGGCTGCACAGTAAGTACCCCGCTGTGACATCTCATGTGCCCTTCTGCCGCCAGCATGCTGCTCTTATGGTCTTTGTAACCCACATTTCATCCAGGTGATTGGATTTTTGAGCATCCTGGCTAGTGGATCTCAAACTTGATGAGCCATTATCAGGGTCTGATGAAACACCGAGTGCTGGGCCTCCCTCCCAGACTGCCTGAGTCAGTAGGTCTGCGGGGGAGAGAGCAGAGAGTTTGCTTTTTGAATATGTTGCCGGATGTTGCTGCTGCTGGTGGTCTGAGAACCACTGGCCTAGGTTAATCCTTCAGTTGGCTGGTGGGCAAACTGAGGCCCAGGGAGGGTTAGGGTTAGGACCAGGGAGGTGAAGTCCCTAAGGTCACCGCAAGGGTAATGGCAGAGCTGGGACTAGAACAGCCTAGGCCTCTTTCCTCAGCACTGCACTGTGACCTGTGTAAAGATGTAGGGGTGGGGTGCAGAGCGCTATTTGTAGCCCTAGAGTGACGCTGCACAGTCCTGGGGAATATGTCTCGGGACTCCACACGTTTGCTCAGGCTCTGATGAAACACTGATGCTAGGTGGCTGGCTATGCTAGCTCACTCACTGGCTGAGGGACTCATCCTCACCAGGGCCTAGTGGAGGGTCAGCTGAGAGTCACCAGTGGGGCTTTAAATACATCATCTCATTCAATCCTCACTACAACCTTATAAGGGAGATTTTTAAAAGAATTACTATTACACATATTTAAAATAATGGACAATGCAAATGGTAAATCTTCAAATGTCAAGGGCCTCTTTAAATATGCACTGCTTCTCCTGAGCTTTTTGTTAGGGCACCTAAAGTAAATCACACTTCAGAGGCGACTGGCCCAAGTGTGGGAGACGTGCTGAGAAGGTGACTACAATTTCCTCTCATTGAGCACCTGCTGTGAGCAGGCAAGTACACCATTTCATGACCCTGGAAAGTCATTATTCACAGGCAAGGTACAGTGCAGTACCCTACAGTACACACCCAGTAGGGGTGTGGGAGCCCCTGCTCCAGCTTCAGACCCCCCACTAACTTGCTGGGTGACCTTTAGGCAAGTTATTTAACCTCTCCATGCAGAGTTGAACCTAGGGCTAGACATCAGTTCCTATTGACGAGGAATCTCCGTTTGCATGAGCTCGATTCAACACACCTGGATTAATTTCCTCACTTGGACTGAGGAATCGCTGGGGGCTCAGCGAAGTCAAACAGCTTTCCCAAAGGTACCAGCCGGTGAGGGGCAGAGGGGCATGGAGGGCTATCTGGGCATGGTTTGTTTGCAAGCTCTTCTGAGGATTTTCATACTGAGTGTTCCCAGCCTGAAGCCTGTAGGGGCTGCCTCAGAAAGTACAGCCCAAACAATCATACCAGGACATCTGCAGCCAGCCTTCCGTCTCTGGGGTCAGAAGACTGGGCCAAGCTGTGGGAGCAGCTCAGCCTGGGCAGGAGCCACTGTCCCCAGTGGAGACTTTTCATGGGAGCAGCGGGGGAGGGGGGTGGACAAACCTCATAAGTTAGTCCTGGAAAAAATTTAGAGAGCATTTAGTTTACTGAGAACACGTCTGAATCAGTGGGCCCAGTAACCTGCATCCCTAGCGGTATGCTTCCCAGGACCTTGAAAATACTGATCTAACCCAGCCCATTCCCAGGGAGGGAATGGCTTTCTTAAGGTCACACAGCCTCCTTATTTCTGTAATGACCTTTCCATGTAGACGTAACGCGCGTGTGCATTGGCAGAGCAGGGCCCGGGCTCGGCACACTCTAAGAACCGGACCAGGTCCTTTGCTGCCCTGGGCCTCAGTTTCCTGACCTCTAAAATGGGAGGCTGTGCTGCACCATTTTGACCTTTGGTGTTCTGAGAGTGTTTGCATCTGGGTAATGGGCTCATACTGAATCTCTTTCTGGCTGGCTGGCTTCATGTATTACTGCTCTTCTACCCTTGCTCCTTTACGCATCTGGTCTGCTGGCAGAGGCATCATGAGTGAGTTGGAATGTTCCAGTCTGACTCTCAGCAGCTGAGCTCTTGGTCATTTTCCTTCAGGACTGGGGGTCCGGTGCCCCCTTAAAATCTTCCAAGCCCCCTAACCCTGTCCAAAGGCCTCTGTGCTAACTCACCCCTTAGCATGGCTTTGAAGTCTCCTTACAAGCTCACGCCTTCCAGTTATAAAGGGATAAGATCTGGGGGCCCTTGGTGACTATAGTGGACGATACTGTATTATATATTTGAAAGTTACTAAGAGAGTAGATCTTAGATGTCCTCACCACACACACTAAAAAGGTAACTAAGTGAGGTGATGGGTGTGTTAACTAATGTGATTGTGGTAATCGTTTCACAATATATGTGCATATCAAATCATCACTGTTGTTCACCTTAAAGTTATACAGTGTTATATGTCAACTATATCTCAATAAAGCTGGAAAAAAAGAATCACCCCATATCCTTTGCCAGCCCCCGTCCCTCCCCACAGTACTGCACCCACACACCACATGGACACACTGTTCCCCTAGCAGGCCATGCTCTGGTCAGCTTTGCATCTTTGAATCTCCATTGGCATGAGCTGGACCACCAGCCCCCCTGGCTCAGAGCCTGCCATATTATGGGATGGATGCTGGTAAGCCCTGGCTCCTTCCCCTTCTGTGCGTATCCCGTGTTTGGACACCACGCTCCATCCCTTAGGTTCCCACCAGATGTCCAAGCGTAGATGCCGGCATGTGTGCTCTTTCCTTCCCAGCCGTGAGCCCTCTTCTTCCCTGCACCCACATCCTTCCTCTCTGAGTTTACCCTTGCAAACTGCCCTGCCTGAAATGTCTACCACTCCCAATCCCCCTGATTCTTCAGTGGTCAGACTCACGTGCGGTCTTTCATAAACCCTTCTCTGTCTACCCAGGTCTTATCCTTTGCCCTGACCTTCCAGAGCACTTGAACACTGCAGCCCGAGGCAGGTCACTTGAGGGGCAGGGAGGGAGCAACAGAGGACGATGTGTCAGCCTCATCCTCTTCTGTCCCCTAAAGGCCCCACACGTATCAGCATTGCCCTCCCAGCAAGTCCCGAGCTCTGGGGGCCCAGTCTCCCTGTCTGCGCTTTGTGGCCCCAATCCAACCACACAGGTGCTCCTGGCAGATGGGAACACCTGTTCAGGGGCTGTCTTTGCTGCCTTTATTTCCCATGCATGCTATTCCCAGGGCAGGGCCATCACGTGTGCTGTTTCCCTTAGCTGCCCCTCATGCCTGCAGAGCCACCGCCCTGTCCCTGGCTCCTGGGGCCCTGTCTTGTTAGGCGCCTGGACAGCAAGATGATGCAGGAAGCAGCAAATTCATGGACAGTGAGCTGCAAAAAAGGAGCCCAGGCTCAGGGACGTTCCCGTCAGTACTAATCGTGAGCGCGGGTCAGGACCTAACTGCGCAGGTGGTTGGTTATAAGGGCTTCAGTAAAGCCCGT